TATCCCCAGCCTCATTTCTTTCAACAACGCTGATTGGGGTGGATGTCCAGACACTTAACACTCCTTTCTTGGTCTTCTAAATGGCAGCCCACGCTCTCCCTGTCTAGTGTTGAGACCAAATATCGAGGGGCTGCTAATGTTGTTTTTTGTTGGCTTAGAAACCTCTTACTGGAACCGCATTGCCCCATCTCAAAAGCCACTTTGGTCTATTGTGACAATGTCAATGCCATCTATCTTTCCGGCAACCCCGTACAGCACCAACATACGAAACATATAGAGATGGATATTCATTTTGTACGAGAAAAGGGTGCCAGTGGTCAAGGTCGAGTTATGCATGTCCCTTCATGATACCAAGTCGTTGACATCTTCACCAAAGGTCTTCCACGCCTTCTTTTTGATGACTTTCGAGATAGTCTCAACATTCACCCTCCTCCTGATTTAGCTGCGGGGTATAATAGGATATCTATGTATATTTAGAGTAAATTTATTTGTAATCATGTATATCTCTTTTGATTTTGTGAATATCTCCTGTATATTTTCCTAGTTTAATTAAGATCATTGTTTATCTTATTAAGGCCTTTTATATGTATAAATAGGAGATCTCTCCAATAATGAAATTCAAGGGTTTGAGCTCTTTCAACTTGTATAGAATATTATGTTTGATTTAGTTTGTATTTGTGTTAGATTTGCTTGTGTTGACGAAAATGTGATTTAATTGTGTTTGAATTTAAAATTATTAGAGTCGGTGCTTGATGGTGGTGTACGGTGGTTCGATGGTGATGTATGATGGTTGTGGGGGATATGAGAGAGAGAGAAAATGACCTCCAAATATAGATGTCAAATTTATTGACCTCTATTTTTTAGTGTTACATTAGTTGGGTGGAGTAAAAATGACCTCCATTTTTGTGTACTTCTTGTTTATAGTGGAGGGACGAAGACACTTTAGTACAAAATAATTTCAATGTACACTACTTTAATAATAATAAAAAGGTAAAATTTTAATACTATAATAAGAAATTTTATAAAATATGTTGTTATTTTATATATTTAATTTTTTTATAAAATTTTATGTAAGATATAGTTTTAGATCAAAATACGAATATTTGCATGGGTAAATGTAGAGCATAAGGGTAGGGGCATTTGCCCCCAATAAATAGGTGGTGTGCTAACTTAAAAGAAAATAATATACACCTAAATTTTCTATTATGCCCCCAATTATACAACCCTAATAAAAGCTAATTAATTTTATTGTTAAATACTAAAGTGGTAATGTTGAATTAACTAATTTTTAGGGTTTGTTATTCCCACTACCAAAAAACCCACTTTTTCCGGCGGCCAAATCCGCCGGAAATCCGCCGGAAAAAGGTATTTCCGGCGGATTTCCGGC